AAACATATGTTTATCTACAGCGCCATCTACATTTGCGTTCTACATGATATTTAAAACAAATATTAAGCTTGTTGGTTTCCAGTGTTTTCCTTGCTTCCCAACGGGCTTACAACGCTAAACTCTTAGGTTCCATTCCTCGCGGTGAGCAAAGCAAAAAAAAAGCTTAGTGATAAGTCTGAAAGCTCATAACGCTAAACATTGGGTTTCGATACCCGTGGTGGGCACAACACAGACAGCCCATTGTTTAGTCTGCTTTCAACATTTAAACCATATCTACAGTTCATTAACGTGACTATAAATGAATTTTTGCGAACCTGAACTTGTTTTTAAAACTGATCAATAAAATCTCTTATCGACTGGAATAATTTACATGAAGAGAAAAGAGTCAAACAACTGACATGAAAGGAGTGTATCTCTAATCTGTGTTTTCAGTTTGTAGAGACGTAATATTACTTGGCACTATCTAAAGACTCCAGTTAGTAGACCACAACTTTGCATTTTCCCCATATTTTGACTTCGATATTTGCAACTTCTTAGTTGAGGCATTAAATACAGAGCGTTTTCTTACTCAGAAATCCATTATATGTGCCCCCCCCCCCCAGTGGCACAACGGTATGTCTGCGGACTTACAATGCTAGAAATCGGGTTTCGATACTCGTGGTGGGCAGAGCACAGATATCCCTTTGTGTAGCTTTGTGCGTAACTATAAACCATTGTATGTAACTTCTACAGCCTTATTTTGAAGAACGTTTTTGTTAAATGACGTCGTACATGTCATAAGTTTGGAACTTTGGCTACCTAGTTCATTCATCTCTGGTTTTGGATATTTTGTATATCACTAAGTTTGGAACCGTGTATATCTATTTCATCCATCTCTTGTTTTGGATATCCTATATATCATCAACTCTGGAACAGTGTCTACCTAGCTCACCCATCTCTGCTTTTGGATATCTTGTATATTACTAAGTTTGGAACCATAGCTATCTAGTTCATCCATCTCTGGTTTTGGATATGTTGTATATCACTAAGTTTGGAACCGTAGATATCTAGTTCATCCATCTCTGGTTTTGGATATGTTGTATATCACTAAGTTTGGAACCATAGCTATCTAGTTCATCCATCTCTGGTTTTGGATATGTTGTATATCACTAAGTTTGGAACCGTAGATATCTAGTTTATCCATCTCTGGTTTTGGATATTTTGTATATTACTAAGTTTTGAACCGTAGATATCTAGTTTATCCATCTCTGGTTTCGGATATATTGTATACCATCAAGTTTGGAACCGTGACTACCTAGTTCACCCATCTCTGGTTTTAGATATCTTGTATATCATCAAGTTTGAAACTGTGTCTACCTAATTCACCCATCTCTGGTTTTGGATATTATGTATATCATCAAGTTTGAAACTGTGTCTACCTAATTCACCCATCTCTGGTTTTGGATATTCTGTATATCATCAAGTTTGAAACTGTGTCTACCTAATTCACCCATCTCTGGTTTTGGATATTCTGTATATCATCAAGTTTGGAACCATGAATACCTAGTTCATCCATTTTTTATCTCACTGAGTTTGGAACCGTGGATAACTAGTTCATCCATCTTATAATTCACTGAGGAACCATGGATACCTAGTTCACCTATATTGTGTATCACTAAGTTTGTAATCATGGATACCTAGTTCACCCATATTGTATATCACTAAGTTTGTAACCATGGTTACCTAGTTCATCCATCTTGTATATAACTAAGTTTGTAACCATGGATACCAAGTTCATCCATCCCTTGAAAAAGATGTTTTGTAATAAACACACTTAGAAGTATTAGATTCTAGTTAACATTCAGGGTTAGATAGCCACAAGTGATCGTCTTCTAAATAAGTTTGTATGTTATCGGAAATTCACTCAAAGATATTTACTGGCTATCTCCGCTAGCTATCATTAATTTCAAACTGCTAGACTTAAGGTAAAACAGATAGTCAACAGCACCAACCGCCAACACTCGGATTACTTTTCTGACTGAACATGTGCGGAGGGCCACTGTTTTTTTTTTTTTCCGGTACCGAGACGCGAACATGGAAACTGCATATCGATAGTCCAGCATGACCAACTACTGGCCAACGTCAATAATGTACTGTTGACGCTCATGATGAAGTAAAAAAAAAATGAATACGCCATTACCAAAGATGTGTCTCATGAAATTCACAAAAAAGGAGCAACAAATTTCAGTATTTTATCTGAGATAAAACTGGGCGCTGAAACAAAAGTGTATATATTGTTTTTATTAAATTGATATTATACTCTCTTTTCTCTCTATCTCTGATTAGTCATTTTCATTCTCAAATTTATAAAGATTTCTTCGAAAGTTCAATTAAACCCTTGTGGCTATTCCTGTTAAGACATTCATCATAAGTTGACCTGCACTTTAAACAAGTCACCCGAAAGAAAAAAACCACCTTGAATGCTCTTTTTGGATCACAATTTTGAATCAAAGTACAGAATAATTTACTAATAGTTAGAAAGTTAATAAGAAAGTATATCGTTACTTTTTACAATCAATAACTTCCTTCTTGTCTGCTGCTTCCTCAAGATTCTGTATCAAACTCTCGATTGTATCCTTTATTAGAAACGCCATCTATAAATAAAACCAATATTTATTATTGACACCTGTTTATTGGGTATCATGTTTGGCTGGGTATTTTATGATCATCTCTTTGAATAATCTATCTCAATCTTCTTATATGTAATACGTTAAAATACAATTTGTGTTAAGGCTGCTAATAGTGAATAAAGAATAAAAGAACAGAAATTATTTCAATATTTTATGTAGATATTATCTCTACAGCATCAGGATAGGCCATGTTTCAAACCAGTGATCAAGACTGAAAGTTGTTTGGTTTGGTTCTTGATCAGATTAGTAACTAATTTTAATCTCTATATTAACTTAGTTTGTCATGGTTCAAGATCTCACCTTTTTCATCTTACCGCTGCTAAAGGTTGGTGATATGATACTCCTGGTTTGTTTCCACTCTTCTCCGCTTTGAACGGACAGCATTTTGTCCAGAGTAGAATCTCCAAGTTTCAAGACCTGAACCGAAAAGTAAAGGAAATTAGGTTCTGGAACATGTAAAACAGTTAAATTATAGAGAACATTACGTGAGATAATAGAAACGCATTGCTAGTCGTTTAAGCAGAATTATCCTATGTCTATAGAGCAGTTATATATATATATATATATATTTATTTTATTTGAATATGGCCAAATTTGTTTGTTTAGTTTTAGAGAAAAACCACATTGGTTTATCAGCTGTGTCCACCGCAGTGAAACGAACCCTGGATTTTAGCGTTGTAAGTCCTTAAATTTACCGCTGTTCCACCAGGGGACATGACCAAAACTGCTAAAATTAACACTTGCAGAATAGTGGCGCAACTAACGATGAGAAAGTACATTTAAAACACTTTATAATATATTTAAAATCATGTTTTAGCTACAGACGTGTTTGTAAATATATTTTACTCTTTAGGACATATGTCTGAAGGTATGTAGTATCTGGAACCTAGGAGGTGTTTCTTAGTTTCATGGCCCACAGGGGCTCAATCGTATGTCTGCGGACTTATACGCTAAAAATCGGGTTTCGATACTCGTGGTGGGCATAGCACAGATAGCCCATCGTATAGCTTCCATTCGCACATTCCACTATTCATTATAAACCATTTACATTCACACATTCTACTATTAATTATAAACTACTTACATTCACACATTCCACTATTCATTATAAACTACCTACATTCACACATTCCACTATTCATTATAAACCGCTTACATTCACACATTCTACTATTCATTATAAACCACTTATATTCACACATTCCACTATTCATTATAAACCATTTACATTCACACATTCCACTATTCATTATAAACTACTTATATTCACACATTCTACTATTCATTATAAATCACTTATATTCACACATTCCACTATTCATTATAAACCACTTATATTCACTCATGCCAGTATTCATATAAACCACGTATATTCACTCATACCAGTATTCATATAAACCACTTATATTCACTCATACCAGTATTCATATAAACCACTTATATTCACTCATACCAGTATTCATATAAACCACTTACATTCACATATTCCACTATTCACGATAACTCGTCTGCAGTTAAAAATAAGATAACTATCATTTATATAATTAGCTATATCTTGAAATATTTTTAATACCATCATGTATTGTTCTCGGTAGCTTTATGGTAAGGCTCAGAAAATATAACGCTAGAATTAATGGTTTGATTCTAACATCGGACTGAACGCCGATAGCCCGTTGGGCTGCTTTATAGCTGAAACAAATAAACAGATCATTAAGCCCTGGTACTTACTCGTCGATCGGAGAATACATGGAAATCTTTAACAGTTATCAGTTTTATTAGCTCTGGTTCAGCCACCACCAGTATTGGCTTTGTGCCCTCGTACACTCTGTAATTTGTATTTAAAAAAAAACAAAAACTTTATACACTGATGATTTTTTACGAATACGTCTCCTACGTCAAACTGTTATAAACCAATAAAACAGCAAACTATTTTATTATAATAAAATCATTGTATAATATTTAAGTTGCAGGTATTTCAATCGAAATATTCTATAATCATTGAATAATCGGACCTAATATTAAGACATGTTAAACAAGTATCACAATAAGTATATCATACAGTATTGGTTGAGCAAAAAAAAAAGTTCTTTTTAAAGATGAAATTTAACAGAGATTTCAAACGTTTAAGAATTGTAAATGAAATTGTAACAGGAAATATTATCGTTCAATCAAATGGCACCGTTAACAGTCAAAGTTCTAAACTGTGTTTCGAAATATGTATCTATAAATGATCAAATACAAACAAAGAGATACGGATATAGGTGACAAGAATTTCGACAATACCTGAATAATTTAATATAGGCGACAAAAGTTTCAACAATACTCGTATAACTTAATAAAGGCGACAAAAGTTTCAACAATATCCGAATAATTTAATATAGGCGACAAACATTTCAACAGTACCCGTATAATTTAATAGAGGTGACAAAAGTTCAATAATATCCGTATACTTTAATAGAGATGACCAAAATTTCAACAATACCCGTATAATTTAATAGAGGTGACAAAAAATATTTAAAAATTCCCGGAATAAATAAATATAAGTGACAAAAATTTCAACAATACCCGTATAATTTAATATAGGCGACAAAAATTTCAACAATAGCCGTATAATTTAATAGAGGTGATAAAAATTTCAACAGTACCCGTATAGTTTAATAGAGGTGACAGAAATTTCAACAATACCTGTTTAATTTAATAGAGCTGACAAGAATTTCAACAATACCCGTATAATTTAATAGAGGTGACAAAAATTACAGCAATACCGTATACTTTAATAGAGGTGACAAAAATTTGAACAACAGCCGTATAATTGAATACATATGACAAAAATTTCAGCAATACCCATATACTTTAATAGAGGTGACAAAAAGTCCAACAATACCCGTATAATTTAATATAGGCGACAAAAATTTCAACAATACCAGTATAATTTAATAGAGGTGACAAAAAGTCCAACAATACCCGTATGATTTAATATAGGCGACAAAAATTTGAACAATACCCGTATAATTTAATAGAGGTGACCGAAATTCGAACAATACCTGTATAATTTAATAGAGGTGACAAAAATTTCAACAATACCTGTTTAATTTAATAGAGGTGACAAAAATTTCAACAATAGCCGTATAATTTAACAGAGGTACAAAAAGTTGAACAATACCCGTATAATTTAATAGAGGTGACAAAAAGTTCAACAATACCCGTATAATTTCCCAAAAGATCTATATCTTTCTTCCAGCAGTAGATGAAGAGGCTGTTAAAAGAGGAGTGGTGTGAATAATAATTTATATTAAAGTTAAAAACAACTAAAGCTAAAAATGTGACATCATTTCACAAAGAGAATTTATGAAGAAAGGAGCTATATTTGTATAACAGAGAGGGAATGAATACAATCTAATCATAAGAAGATTTTCTTTCATGCCATTCTGGACTCTTAGTTATACCGGTATATTAAATAGGCGACATTATTTATTGTAGACCAGTATATTTAATGAACAAAATTATTTACTGAAGACCAGTATTTTTAAATGGACGACATTATTTGCTGTAGACCATTATATTGAATGGAGGACATTATTGAATGTAGATAAGTATATTAAATGGACGACCTTATCTATTGTAGACAAGACATTATTTACTGTAGACCAGTATATTAAATGGACGAGATTATTTACTATAGACCGGTATATTAAGTGGACGACATTATTTACTGTAAACCGGTATAGTAAATGGAGGACATTATTTATTGTAGGCCAGTGTATTAAATGGACGACATTATTTACTGTAGATCAGTGTATTAAATGGACGGCATTATTTATTGTAGACTGGTATATTAAGTGGACGACATTATTTACTGTAGACCAGTATATCAAATTGAAGACATCGTTTACTGTAGACCAGTGTATTAAATGGACGACATTATTTATTGTAGAACGATGTATTAAATGTTCGAGATTATTTATTGTAGACCGATGTATTAAATGTTCGAGATTATTTATTTGGTTCACTTTTAGTTCTGATTCATGTAGGTTGGGCTTGAACTGGCTTGGCGATGAGAGTGTTCGACTCACAATATTCGGGTTGCGGGATCCTAACCTGTAACCAAATATGCTCTCCCTTTCTGTCGTGTGGGTGTTGTCAATCCCACTATTCGATGGCAAAGTTGTCAGTGGGTGTTGTTGATTATCTGTATTTCCTCTAGTCTATCACTTCTAAATCTGGGACGGCTGGTACTCATTGCTCTCGCGTAACTACCACCTCCACTGCAAGTCGTTTCTGTTTGTGATATCTCTGCTATTTTTCTCGCGGTTACAAGAAACGCTAATTAGCTTTTTAAATTACATGTCTTTTTATAACTTGCAAACTGTGAGAATGTGTTTTTGAGTTCAAACAACCATTATGACCATGGTTAATTGAAAAACTTTTTGTCCATAGTTTCAGACACTGTATGGTAACAAAACTTTGGGAGTCATTTGTCAGTTAAATTTGTCAAACTATGATCCCGACTTTGGAATTACCAATATATTTTAGTACCTATGTATTTTATAAATTGAAAACCAATTTGCAAAAAAAATATAATGTACATTGTTTCGGTTTAGTTTGAATTTCGCGAAAAGATACACGAGGGCTATCTGCGCTAGCCGTCCCGAATTTAGCAGTGACAGACTACAGGGAAGGCAACCAGTCAACACCACTAACCGTCAACTCTTGCGCTACTCTTTTACCAACGAATATTGGGATTAACCGTCACATTATAACGCCCCCACGACTGCGAGGACGAGCATGTTCGGTGATGGGGATTCGAACCCGCAAACCTCAGATTGTGGGTCTAGTGCACTAACCACGAGCCAGACCACAAAGTTTTGGCTATGAGGCTTCTTTGGATGATTTCTCTAAAGCAGCGAACTGTATTCTGATAAACGGGGTGTATAGAGTTTTTTCTAGATAAGTTGGAATGTTTAAAATGTTATTATCGCTCCTTTAGCATAGCTTTCTAGAATGTATTAACTAACATGTGTAGAATGTTCGTATCTATCTTAGTATAGAAGGTACTTAGTATACAAAAACGAAACAATTAAAACCAGTCAAATTATTAAGCTGGCGAAACATTAATGCAATTATTCCTATCATAAGACATTAGTATTAGGCCTATTATATTATTAGCACTACATTTTTATCTAACCTTTGAGAGATTTTCAAGAATTAGAAGATTGTATAATAATTATATAATATTATTCTGACCACACTTTATTCACTACGTCCATTAGCAACGACGCATTTCGCTCAATTCAAAGTGCATCAGGTTGGCCGAGATACAACAAACATTTAAGTGCAGTACGTGTAAAATTATGTACGTTATTTTCTCTGGGTTAAAATACTGTTACGCCTCCAGTCGTTAATTAATTTTCCGTAACTTCGTTCCGACGAAACTTTAGCGACACAAGTCCTTTCTTAAATAAAACTGATTTATTCTTTCTGAATATAACTTTACGATACACTTAATTTCAACAATCGCTCTATAACAACACTATAATTTCACGTCTCACGAGGCCAACAATATTTTGTTAGCATACATTCAATTACTCATTACACTGTTGTCCCGTCACGTTGTCAACGTATTATATATACAAGACTAACACATATCTAGTAGTCTCCCGATAATTCACGAAGGTTCGAGAGAAGTGGCGTGTAACTAGTCACGTGACCTCGCTGACGCAACAATACTTTAATTGCGAGTCCCAGTCCTCTTACCGGAGCCTTCATCGGGCAACAAAGTTGTTTAACGTAATAAAAACAAAAAGTCCGTGTATATTTCTACTTATTAATTTACCTACGTAAGTTGAGTAAGTGAAAATATATATTAGGCCTAATAGTAATATATAACGACAAGTACATTAATTTAAAAAATGCTCGATTACTTGAAGTAATTTAATCCATCATTCTGTCATGTATTTTGCTAATCATTCTTTAGAGCAATTTTATTAAACTTAAGTAGGCAACTTACAACTTCTCGTTAAGATGTGAAATCTAAAAACAACTTAGTTATTTACCGTTTTCAATGACTGAAAGATATTCTGGAAAGGAAATTTATCTTGAACTTCCTTAACTCCTCTTTTCTTCCAGTAGCCATAGTTTCTCATAGAATACCTAAGAAGAGTGAGGAGTTGTAAGAACTACACAAAGAAACACATTACACTAAACTTTATGTTTGTCTTCACTTCTCAGACTGAAAAAGCCGCTTAAATTTGTAATATATTCACATATAATAGCGAAATAGCAACATACATATAACCACCCGAATCACTTATATAAACAAGATAAGAAATCATTAGATACACTACAAGTCAACTTTACTATAGTTATTAGTGATGTACTACAAGTCAACCTTACTGTAGTTATTAGTGATGTACTACAAGTCAACCTTACTGTAGTTATTAGTCATGTACTATAGGTTAACCTTACTATAGTTATTAGTGATGTGCTACAAGTCAACCTTACTGTAGTTATTAGTGATGTACTACAAGTCAACCTTACTGTAGTTATTAGTGATGTACTACAAGTCAACCTTACTGTAGTTATTAGTGGTGTACTATAGGTTAACCTTACTGTAGTTATTAGTGGTTTACTACAGGTCAACCTTATTGTAGTTGTTAGTGGTTTACTACAGGTTAACCTTACTGTAGTTATTAGTAATGTACTACAGGACAACCTTATTGTAGTTATTAGTGGTGTACTACAGGTTAACCTTGATATAATTATTAGTGGTGTGTTACAGGTCAGAATCGCTTTAGTTATTAGTGGTGTACTACAGGCCAATCTTGATGTAATTATTAGTGGTGTGTTACAGGTCAGAATCGCTTTAGTTATTAGTGGTGTACTACAGGTCAATCTTGATGTAATTATTAGTGGTGTATTACAGGTCAGTATCGCTTTAGTTATTAGTGATGTACTGCAGGCAAACTTTACTGTAGTTTTTCGTAAAATATTAGCTCATCTTTCTGTTCATAAAAGAACATGAAATGTTGTTATATAAGCATGTTGAGGTGTGTGACCGCAGGTTGTGTAAAACCTCATAAATAACTCTCAGTTTTGTATTATTGTGATCTTACATAACATATAAGACCGAGATATATAACTCTTTACTAACATCTACAACAGTTAACAAGACCTGGATGTACTGTATTACCTTTCTTACATATTATTATTGTAATCTTACATAACATATAAGACCGAGATATATGACTCTTTACCAGCATCTACAACAGTTAACTAGACCTGGATGTACTGTTTTGCCTTTCTTACATATTATTATTGTAATCTTACATAACATATAAAACCAAGATACATGACTCTTTACTATCATCTAGAACAGTTAACAAGACCTGGCTGTAGTGTTTTCCCTTAATTGCATGTTTCTGTGATTGAACACAATAAATCTTGAGATGACAACAATGCACGAAACAGTAATTAAAATATTGTTTTACATACGGGTTCTACAGTGCTTAATTTCTCGAGCAAAGGCTATTGTATCCCCATTGATGGATTGGGAAGAAAAAGTTTGAGTTTTGATAGATAACAGTTTTAACTTTATTTATCTATTGATTTCAAGCAATTTGGTCGACTACGTAAATCAAATATTATATAATCGAGACACTTTTAGAATTAATTATAGTGTTTCCGTCCTTAAATGATAAAAAGCAATTACTAAACAACATTCGGAGCTGAGATACGGAAGAAATTTAGGGTTCTCATTCAAGGGGACGAAAAACATGCTAAAATACTCTTTATCAAATAACTCTGTCACATCACGGTTCTTGCTCTAATAGATGTTGCATTATTATAATGATAATAAAACGATAGTAAATACAGGAAGTGGACAAAAGATGGTAACACTTGGATAAATACGGGACAACAAATATATGCAATGCAGGGCTACCACACAGGTGTGGCTCGTCCATTAAATAAAAATGCTGGACAGACCTAGTTGTCTATAATCATGGTTAGCATGGCTGCAAGAGATGACCTCATTGACCTTAAAAGAGGAGTGATTGTTAGAGCGCGTTTGACGGGAGCTTCAGTGAGCAAGAGAGATTAATTTGCTCATGTTTCACAAGCAACGGTGTCTAAAGTGATATCAGCATGGAACTCCGAAGGAAAGACATTGTCAGCAAAGGGCAACAGTGGTTAGAAGTGCATATTCCAGGATCGTGATGCCCGGGCATTATTTCGAGCTGCAAAGCAAAACAGGCGAGCAACTGCAGATCAATTGACCGCAAATTTCAACCTGGGGTGAGAGTAGCCAGTTTCATCAAAAACGGTCCACTGTGAATGGGATACCATAGTTGAGTTCCAGTGCATAAACCGCTCATCACACCTGGCAATGCACGTTTGATTCCAATCATTATTGGATGGTACTGAGTGATCATCTTCACCCCATGTTACAGTATTTCTGTCCTGCAAAGAGGGGTGTCTTTCAAGATGACAATGCCCCTGTCCACAAAGCACGAGTAGTCGCCCATTGGTTTGTGGAGCATGACATTGACGTTATCCATATGTCATGGCTTTCTCAGTCTCCAGATTTGAACCCAGTCGAGCATATATGGGATATTTTAAAACGACGACTGAGACAGGGTTTTCCACTTCAATCAACTAGGTGTGAGTTGATTGATGTCGCATTCCTCCTGCAGAATTCTAGACACTGGTAGACTCTATGCCACGGCGCATACAGGCCCAACGCCCTATTAAGTGACTTTACATTGGTTTTCCATTTTTTTGGCCACTAACTGTATTTGCTAACCTTTGCTATTATATATGATATATACAGAAACTTATACACAAAGTAAATTCGCGCCCTTATAGTCTGAAAGATAAATTTTATTAAAAATCTTTGAAAATTAAAATGTTCATTGAAAGCCAGCTTTAATATTCATTTTTGTTACAGTATACTAGCGTTTATGAAATATTATTATATGAATTTTATATAAATTGTTACGTCTCCGTTTGTTAATCAATTTCCGTAACTTCGTTCCAACGAAACTTTAGCGACACAAGTCCTTTCTTAAATAAAACTGGTTTATTCTTTCCGAATACAGCTTTACGATACACTCAACTTCAACAGTCGCGCTATAACAAACTATAATTCACGTCTCACGAGCTCGACTTCAACAATACGTCTCTCTCTGACAGCAGTTCAATTACTCATTACCTACACGCATTGTTCCGTCACGTTGTGACCATCTTATATATACCAGCCCCACCCCAATCGAGTAAATGCTAGGGCATTCACGAAGGAACAGGATATTTCTAGAAAACGTGGCGTGACACTAGTCACGTGACCTCGCTGACGCAACAAAATGTTAGATAAGAATATTATTTATGACCTTGAAAACGTTACACGCAGTAATGTGAATGAAAGTATGAACCCTGATTACAACCTTATAACGATAATACGGTATTTTATATCTGATATATGTATATAAGATCCCAGTAATCCTGAAAGCTAACTATAAGGTATTTCAAAACTATTGTTTGAAATAATTGTTTATTCATCTGTTTATAACAAAGGAATGCACACACAGCACTTATCTGTTGTGATAAATAACAAGGCTTAACCATAACGAAGTGGTTGAAAAAATTTTCAAATTAAATTTTTTCTACCATTTTATTTTCATTTAAGGATTTTGAATTGGCTTCTTATAAACAGAGATTTAGCACATGTGAAGTAAATTCTCTAATAAAAGACTAGAACATTTTTTCTAGAAATTTTCGCATTACGAAAGAGCACAGATTTGCCATGTAGTTGATCTCTGAATTTCTGAGCTGAAGATACGGTTTTGAATCCGTGCGATAGACAAAATATTTCCCGCACTTTAAGTTGTGAGTGCGTTTCAAGAGTAAAAGTCAATTTCTTAGCGTAGATGGTAGGTGATAGAGTGCTGTTGATTGGCTGCTGTCCTGCTGATTAGATACAATGGCAGATAGCCATAGCAGCTGGCCAAAATACACTCTAGAAAAAAAAGTCCCCCTTAGTGGCTCAGCTGTAGATCTGAAGGCATATAACGCTAAACCCCAAGTTTCAATACCCGTGGTGGGAAAAGCACAGAAAGCACTTGATACATTTTTTTTTCAGAGCACTAATCAGTTGGTTACTAATTTTCTGTCTATTACTTTTACAGAGGTCAGAAAACTTTCTAGTGGATAGCGTGTATGGCTGCGGATCGAAAGGTTTCTAGGTTCAAGTCACCGATACATCTCCCAACACGCGGGCTGCGGATCGAAAGGTTTCTAGGTTCAAGTCACCGATACATCTCCCAACACGCGGGCTGCAGATCGAAAGGTTTCTAGGTTCAAGTCACCGATACATCTCCCAACACGCGTCGCATTTAAGCTACTATGTGTTATAAAAGTAGCAATTAACCCACTGACTACTTCCATTCTTTCTGATTAACAGTTCAAAATTTCAGACGACTATGTTTGTTTGTTTGAAGTTATGCACAAAGCTACACAATGGGATACCTGTGCTCTGCCCACCACGGGTATCGAAACCCTGTTTCTAGCGTTGTAAGTCCGTAAACATAGCGCTGTGCTACTGTGGGGCCAGACGACTGTGTCTGAACCTTAAGGTCTCTGACGTGTCTGTTTATCCTATGTTTTGTTTAAGACACAAGATATATTTATTTCTTCTCAACGTTTCGGATAATATATTTCTTTATGTACAACGTTTCGGATAATATATATATTTATGTACAACGTTTTGAACAATATATTTATTTATGTACAACGTTTTGAACAATATATTTATTTATGTGCAACGTTTCGGATAATATGTTTATTTCTGTACAACGTTTCGGATAATATATTTATTTCTGTACAACATCACGGTTTCACAACTGTTAAGTTGGTAAGTCTTAAAAAATCGGATAAGTCAATTATTAAATTATTATTTATTTTCAGTTCCATCCAAATTTCAGGAAAAAAAAAGTAGAAATTTATCTTTATTTTAATTTCTTTTGCTTTTATTATTCGTGTTTATATCTTGAAAGTAAAGTTTCTCTATTCAAACAACAGGATAAAATGGCCAATACTTGAAAATTACATACAATTAAAGAAACACCTAGCCTTAGCAACAAAACAAAATATAAAGCTTA